GCTGAATAAGGTTTTGATTTTGTGAACTCCAATTGTTTGTGAACAATTTCATCTTTCATGATTAACGTCTAGAATAATATGATGGTCACATATACTACACTCGAAAATATTCCCACAATAAAGATAAAAGAATATGCTGAATTTTTGACAACTCGAATGATTTTTGTGATTGATAACAACGTCCACTACACAGTGTCTTCATCCAATTTTTGCAGAAGTTAGGAAGTCGAAGTGTTATTAAGAGGGAATTGGTAACTAAAACTATATTAGCGTTACTTTTAATAGCCGAAGCATTCACGGTATGAGGGGCGTCAATATTCCTAATCAGATTAGTGAACGTCATATAATACATCAAAAACTCGTCGTTGTTTTGAACGATTTCAACTGAATTATCACCGAAGCAGTTCCACACTGAACACCGCTCTCCGTCTATTGCTCTCATTTTTCTGTTTTCATTCTTCACTTTTCTTATTTCTTTTGCGCTGCATTCTATCAAAGCATTTCGATCGTTATCCCAATCGCCTCAAAATGACTGCAATCCGAATCATACAATCAGACAGAAAACAGTTTTCAACGAAAATTCATCGAGTATGATCACCCAGAATGATAGAAGAAGAGTATTTGTGAAAACGTTTTCCAACTATTGGTTTCGTGGAGAAATTCGAGAATTATCTCTCACATTAACAATTTTATTCTTGCAAAACGAGATTGCTGCTTGATTCGGGTGCTGCGAATATGATCAAGTTTTATCACATTAAGTCTCATTCTTCAGCACTCTACAGCTTAGGCCGTATTCGGATTTGATGAACCTTCAAAATGAAGAAAATTAAATCAGTCGCTCATCTATTTAAAAATTCAGGTTGTATACGGTACGACTGGATCCGTAGGATCGGGTGATGATTCTCGAGTCATGTCAGATAAAGTTCAAGTACTTGCCTCATCGATCTATAAAGAATTCGAAACTATGATACAAAAGTCCGGAGAGGATAGTGTCAAAGTGAGAATATGACTCATTTTACACTTGTCAAAAATTTCAGAATATGTAAATAATCACTGTCGCTGTCTTTGTCATACAAGTCTAACATTTCCGAAATGACGTACTTCCCCTCATTCGTGGTTCCCTCAGTTCGAAAATAACGACAATTACTGTTTCCAATCACGAGATTGTTGTAATTCTTGTGCACAGCTCGAATACCGAAATTCCTTAAATAACCAGAAACGAAACCATTTCAAGGCTTATCCTCTAATGAATGTGGAGGTGTGCTATCTTTCAAGACATTAGTGCAAGTCCCGTTGATTTATTACTCTCAGAATTTGATGCCATTAGTGGTGAACGTATTGGAATGTTTGGATTTGGCGTATCTGGAGAAGGAGGAATATTCGGTTGATTTGGAGATGTTGAAAGAGGATAATGAACAGCTGATGACGCAGTACGAACGCGAAAAACAATTGCGTCGTGCTCAGGATCAGGTGGTTGATTTGACTTTGTATTCATTTATTGGTTTGCTCATATTCGGTAAGTGTGAGCAGTTGCACTCGGGTGAATGCGTGAGCAGTGCAACCCTCATTGTTCATTTTCATTCGCTTCTCGTTCTCTGCTTCTCAACTCATCTCGAATTCGCAGCGACGGTTGCTCTCAGTCACTTGAAAATAATTTCAACACTCAATTTTCAAAAAAGATTAAGGTAATACAATGAATGATCAGTGAATGTTTGTATGAATTATGGTGAAATTTCAGAAATGCTTGGAAATTGAAGACTCATCAGTGGAGCAGATTCATGAATTGGAAAGTAAAATCGAATCACTGGAATCGATCATGCGAATGCTCGAGTTGAAAGCAAAAAATGCCTCTGATCACGGTACTCTCTTCATACCGATAACGTATCTCTTTGCATCCGGGCTCAAACCCTTATAAGGGTTGAGCCCGAATGCAAAGCCATCTTCCTTGTTTGCGGTATTTGATCTCGAGAAATATTCCCAATTTTGTTGTCCATCGACTTCAACACTGTTGCAGTCACTGTATAAATAACACTCAAACTCTGCAGCCAAACTCACTGCTTATCAAGTGTTTACCCCCGTCAATCAGCCTTTACCCTCATTTGAGATCCTCATTAGCCAGATTTTCCGTTATTTCCTCGCAAAAATTCGCAGTCTCAAGAAATCTCATCAATTATGATTGCATTGTGATACATTCGTTGAGTGTGACAAGCAAACATTTTCCTTAATTCTTAAAGGTTGCATTCTGATAATATTCACCTCTGCTAACATATACTTCTGTTTTGTTATATAAAAGCCACTGACTGTGTCTGAATTTCTGTTGGCCATTGACTATGTTAAGGAAAGCTGTGTTANACGATTCCTTGAAGACGTATGTTTTAGCTGCCCGTTTGGAGGAGCGTGAAACGGATCAGAAGAATGAATTCGATAAGTTACACGAACGTTACAACGTTTTGTTGCGAACACACATCGATCATATGGAACGTACGAAATATTTGATGGGCAGCGATAAATTTGAAATGATGCAAAATATGCCAATACCATCGCAACATCTCAGAGCAAAGTTTGTCTTCATTTGTTAATCATTCGTTTTGTTGACTTATTCGAATGGTGCTATTTCATATTCGAGTGACGAACCGTAATAGTTTTCCGAGAATTTGGTATTCAGTTCAGACGCAGATCTGAGTTGATCTTTTTAGGTGCTTAAACTTTTGGAATTTCACTCGAAAAAAGACTTGCTCCGAGCCGGAAGTACATCATTTCACTTGTATTTCTATTGTATAAATTTAAGGATTATATCATTTCTTGTCACCCGATATCCAGTTATGACATCCACATCATATTTTAATGCACTTTCCCGAGATTC